ATATAGTATTTCTCCTTGGGGGGTTGGTATTGTACTCATCGGGGAATACATGTACCGGTAAATGTAATCGCTGGACAATCACAGTTAATCTTGAGCTTGTACTGTTATGTGCACTTTCTAGACCACAAAGGCTCATTTTTGATTCCGGCACTTGAACACCGTAAATTGTTATGGACTGGATATGGTATGCAAAGCGGTTAATATCGCATCAATACGTTATTCACGTTGAATGAATGAGCATCATTTTCCCGCGAGTGTGCTTTCGCACGCACAATGCTTCATCGGGTTACTACATGCATTATTGTTAGTTTTCAGGGTGCTTATCAGTTAAGGCTTGGACAACATCTCACAAACGTACGATTATGCATGCACTTGATTATGCAGTCTCCACTATCAACATCAGGTGGGTTCAATGCTGCATTTGCACTTCAAGGTATTGTGCGTTCTATTCGACATTTATATCCGCGGTTCTTTGAATGAACCACGCAACAATCGCGGTCGAATACTCGTCCGATTAAGTACGATTTGGACTTTAGCTGGTGCACACAGGGAGTTTTCAAAACTATGGTGCTTCACTTTAGGCTGGAGGTCCATACAGCTTTTCTAGCTGGCCTCCCAGGAAAACAGGGAATCTATGCGAGGGTGACTCGTTTAAATAGAACTAAAGTGGCAAATTTGGCCGGAATACACAGTAAGAAAACTGCCATGATCACATTTTGCCTCGTCTTGTCATTTCCTTGTTACTGCCCCAGTTTTTTTTACGAGTACAATATGGGTTGCGGACTGTTGGCCCACAGGGTTCGCAATTCGATATTAAAACGGAATACCGGATGTTGCCCGCTGTCACGCTATGGTCTTCAGCTTTTTCCACGCCACAATTATTCTACTGAGTATAGAGCAAGCGCATAGCGTGCAAAGCCATTTCAAAACCCAAACTCAACTCGATTAAAGGTAAATATAGCACAAAGAGTTGGTTTACTGTTTAGTAATTATCGTCACAAACATGGATTGGAAGTAGAGACATCTTTCTTTCAATTAGTAATATTGCTAAACTAAATATTTATTTTAACCTATCCTGAAATATTACTAATTAGTGAGTCGACTTTTTACTAACTATTATCATTATTAGTATTATTAGAGCTACCAGCAGTCTGCCACAAGTTGCATGTGCCCTCCTTCATTCGCTCAATACCCTGGCGACGTGGTGAAATATCAGTTGACGGTGAGCCCGTTCGCTGCTCGTACGTGTCCGCAGCGGGCTCATCACCAATGATCCTGTTGAGAACACTCTTTCCTGAAGGGTGTTGACGAGCAACCTCCCAGCCACGTGGGCGCAAGCATCGCAATGGTAGGGAGCCTGCTCTCACCGGTTTTCAGAAACCACTGCCGGATGTAAATGTATTGACACAAGCTGTTCACGTTCCACACCTTTGCCATGTTTGAGGCCGATTCTTGAGCTTTCAATGGTGTTCTTGTACTTGCGAATGCACAGTTCACTGCAAGATCTGAGAAGGATTAACAATAGCTCAGTCTCTAAATTGACACTCAAAGCATGCCAACCTTCAACTGCCTGGTAGCTCCGTGTCATTGCAGATTGCACTACAGCAAATATGTTGCATGGGGCGGGTACAAACAGAGCATGCAGCTGTTTCCGACACATTAGCTACCAAACAGCTAACCTTGGGGCACCTTATTCGACACAGTCTCGCTCTGCAGGAGGAAAATCTTCGAACGGCATGAAAAGAAAATCGTGCTGGCCTCCCAAAGCACACCCATGGATCGATTACAGTTGCTAAAATAGCTTTTGGAAAGTTGAGCCTCGCTCGCTAGGCTTTCTTCAAGATATTATTTTGATTAGTAGTAATTTGTCCGACTTTATCTAATCAAGAGTGCTACTACCAATCTCTAGTCACAATATTAGGATATTAATAATAATACATGTATCAATAGTAAGATATTCGTTGGACGATTTCGTGTAAAACCCCATATTGTGGGGTTTTACACGAAATCGTCCAAATGGAGGTGCCAATTCAGTGCGCGAAATTGGATGAACTGGGAAAGCGAACGGTGCACCAGCAGCAACAGTGAGCTAGTAAACCTTCCTAGATAAGTAATAACTGGAAGCTGAAACGATCTAAACGCGACTGAAGGTGAGCCTAACTTCGCAATGGGGACACGCTAGAAATGTACCCAAATTACTAAATGAATGTAAAAACTAAGTGATCAGTTTAGTGCCCGTTTTTAGAATGATCATCATTGCCCACGAGAACACCTCCAATATCCACTGTTACTCTAGCATTCTTGATCATCTTCTCTGTTGCTGGAGGCAAGATCAGTATCTCGCTGCGTGTCTCTAAGCGCATCTCTTCTTGCTTTCGCTTTAGCCACCCCTCCTTACCAATCTTGCCTTTTGCACTGCCGTCAGTGGAGCGATTCCCGTAGCCAATCTGAGGTGCCTAAACTTTTATTTTGAAGGCCTTTCTAAATATAGAATTGAGCGTGTCCACCCGTCGCCAAGATCTGCACTCTGTTCCGCATCCCCCAAACGCAATGAATGACGACGGCGTCGTGCTCATTCTCATGCTAGCACTCGCGCATGAGGGTAAACAAGAGAAGGGTGAGCGACAAAGGGGCCAGCACTGCCATACAAGAGCAGATCTGCATCCCGAGCCACGCTATGGCACGGCATGGGAGGCGATTTATGGCGCTGGAAACGATAGAGCATTTATTACAACGACTGGATTCGACGTTAGGTGCTTCCACTACTTGTTATCGTGTTTCGAGCCCAGGTAGAGTGGAAAAATGCTGCTCTAGGACCACTATACTGCTGTTGACAGATTGATTCTTGAAGATGGTGCTCCACATCATACAAGAAATGACGTCGACGCTTCTGGTGAATCCAGGCCGGATCGTCACTCTCCTTCCGATGCTGCAGCGCTCGGCTTGGTGCTCCACTATCTCTGTTCTATCTACTGCAGATATTCGCCGTGACGTCGTCAGTGTGCTAGCGGTATTTGGCGTTTTCGGTGCAAATTCTTTTGGAGGTGTTCAAGAGCATCCCAGTAGCTACGATCAGCTGGCCTGGGACTGACGATGAAGATGTCTTTGCAGACTACGCTGGCATGATTTCGTTGCGTCACCCCTTGCTGACAAAGGGTTTTTTCTTCGTTGACGGCGTGAACATTCCTGTAGCAGAGTCTGAATTTGATGATATTCAGAACGCGTATTATAACGGCTGGACCTGCAGTCACTACTGCTCGAACGTTCTGGCGTTTGCTCCCGATGGTAGCACTATTCGGGCAACTAGCATCCCCAGTCGGCTTATTCACGTTCAGCAGGCCACTAAACTTTTTCTTCAGAGACGTAAGGTCTCGCTCCGCGCGATCAAACTCATTCACGTAGTCCTCGTAGTGGTGCAACACAACCTCCCATTCGTTTGCTCCAGTTGGGAGAACTATACCGCTGATCTCTAACAGCCTTTCCACGTCCTCGGGGCTATAGTTCTCGACACCGGGGACTCTTCCGCGTCGTGGCATCCCGAATGCTGCTGTCATTGATGGAGGCTCGTTGGGCACGGAATGCGGAATGAATCTGTCAAGGTTGAAGTACAAGATGGAATGAAGGTCATCGCTTTTGAGAGGTATCGCACCTAAGTGAGAAATTTGATGGCTTTTTGGAAGTTTTAGGCTGCCCAGACCCAGACTCAAGATCTGAAAGGGGGGGGGGGGGTCCCTTTCAGATTTTGAGTCTGAACCGCAGCATCTGTGGTTTGGAGGAACAGAACGTCCCATTTTTGTTGTGGGTAGGGCTAAGTTTGGATCTGAACCGGTTCAAACGGCTGCGGGAATCGCTCCAGTATACAGCTTTAATCGCTCCATCATATTGGGAAATGACGCTGGGAATAAACCCGTACTGGCGAAGAAGCTCATTACATTGTTGGGGCACTCCATATTAGTTGACTTGTACGCCGCGCAGGCGATCTGAATGGAGTCCGTCGTCGACAATTCCATGTCCGCTGTGCCAAGCAGCTTCGACTCCAGTGCCTTCGTCACGGCGATCTTAAAGGGCTTCAAGACTGCGATATCAAGCGGCTGATACAAATGCGCGGTATTCGGTGGCAATGCAAGGAATGATATACCCATATCAAAAGCTTCCGCGATGGTCTCTGAAATAATATACCCTTAAAAAGGATATCAGTAAAAAAAAAAAAAATGAATATCAAGGCAAACGTTAGAATTCAAGCACCAATCAAATAAAGTACCTAAAAAAAAAAAAAATGAATATCAAGGCAAACGTTAGAATTCAAGCACCAATCAAATAAAGTACCTAGAGCATTTTTATGTAAAAACGGGATATCTTTTAATTCACCATGCACTAAATTGGCACTGAATAATTAAGCCAATCAGAAGCCGATTGCCCACGAAAATGCGCTCCAATTGGACGAGAGGATGTATCGCCCACTAAACCGATTCCACGCACTGAAATGGCATTTTCCGTAACCCCAAAACGAATATCTATATATGATATATATTATATTTCTTACTTGTACGAAAGAGAATATATTGAATCAATTGTAAATCATCAAATTGTGTAGTGGTTCACATTGTTGGACTGCCCGTCTGTACACAGACGTACTGTCGCACACTACCAGGAAAAACTCTATAGCTATTGATAATCATGACTTTAAACATCATTAAAATATAGTTGATGATTGTTTTAATTCTGTTTTAGTTTAAAACAGTTGGAGATACTTTTAAGTCATGTTTAGTTATAAAGTTTCTTTTTTCAGCAATTATCGTTTTCTTACTATGAATAAGGAACGTACGATATATACTACGTACGACGTAGTATATGTTTTAGGAGATCAGCAATTGAAGATACATAGTTGGTTGGAGTAGTGAGTTCTCAACGATACGCTAATGACCTGAGCATTTCGACACTCGGACAATACACAAGTACAAATGCATTGCGCAAGCACCTCAATACTAGCTCTTCATGGCGCTTGTGAGTGCCTCAACCGGTTTGTTCTTGATGAACAACTTTTTCACGTTCTCCAACACGTCGTCTCCACGATTCGCTGCATACTGCAACGTATACGTCTCTAGAAGCACGAACTTGGGGTCAGTTACCGCCAGACTGAAAACGCGCTCCCAGTTCTTAGTAACCGGACTTGCAATCAACACTCCGAGTTTATCTGGTGTCACATTGGCATTGATCCAGGTCTTGAATAGTCGAGCCTGTAGTTTTTCAACGATTACTCTCATACCAGCATCGTTCATGATCGCTTTGTCCTTGGCAAGTCTTTGGAATAGCAATCCAAATTCCGTCTCTTTCTCGTGAGGTACTCTCATCAAGAAATTTAAGGTCTCCTTTGCAGAAAACCCTTTCCTCAGCTGTTTGTTGTAGTCCCCAGAGTACTGAAGCCATGCAATCAGCTCTGGGCGATAGTAATCGTCTAAAGCGTTGTCGGCGAGTCGTAGCGTGGTAAATACTTCGTCGGGAGTTTCCAGGGCTTTTAGCCACATTGTATTCATCAACGTGCGGCTGTCCCTCGATGCTTTGAACATGTGCAGCTTCGTATTTGCGAGACCCTTCATGCCCTGAACACGACTAAGCGACTGAAAAAGCTCTATCAGTTCTTCCTTGGAATGGCCACTTTTCCAAAACAAGTTGAATAAGTAGTGAGTGGAGAACTGTTCCGTCCCTTTAGTCGCCATGAAGTTGTCCGCGTACCGGAGCCACTCTATGAACGCATTGTTGTTGCTGCTGAGCTTCGTACTGGCCTCTCCAAAACGCATTTGTTCGAAAACTTTCGCTGGATTCATCTTCGCCGCCTTCATCATCTTGGCGACGATCCCATCGGCAAGATGTGAAAAACCTGACGTACCCGCCCTCTCTTCTCCACTCGTCGATCTTAAATGCCTTTTTGGTTTTACCACCAACTCCCGTTCGGTAAGTACCCGTAGATTGAGGAAAGCGATGTCGGAGTTGCCAGGGTCGACGAGTGCTGAGCCGGAACCAATTCCAGCAACCAGGAACACCACCGAGAAGATGACGCCGAGCAAGCGCATGCTTCCCTCCTGCACAGACCTGTGCTTGTGAGCAGAATGCAAAGTGGGTTGTCTGGACCAGCAGACTCCTGGCAGCAGTGCTGTGCAGACAGCACAATCGCCCATCATATTTCCAATCCCATGATCCTCAAGCAAAGGTCCACAGGCTCTGTCCACTTACCACCTTACCGGTAACAGAAAATGTATCTGATTGGGTGGTATTACTAACTTATTGCAATGGGTTATTGGTAGTACTATGAAATGTATAGTATAGTAATTAATACACATGCAGATGTAGGACGGCTGTGGAAGCTTCTAGAAGCTTTCATCCGTCTGAACTGCGGGGGCGGCACTTTCACTTTGGCGCGCCCTCCCCCAAGTTCCTGTCTTCTTGATAAACTAGTAGCACTTGTTGGTCCCAGCAACCTGACCTCAAGGAACCATGCCGACGAACGCACAACTGCAAGCCGAGATAGACCAGCTGAATCAAGCGATGGCGGAACGCACGCGAGTGCCCAGCAACCTGCCAAAGTTCACTGGCAAAAGGGGGGAAGACGTGCGCGAATGGCTGTTCCAGATTGAGAACGCCTGCCGCATCAACGGGATCGCGATTAACGATGCGAGCCCGCGACTACCAGGAATCGCCGGGTCGGCGATGGAGAAACCGGCTTCGGGGTGGTTCCTGCACTGGGCTTCGACGACGCGAGTGGAGGAGCACACGTGGGGGATTTTCCGTGAGCATGTGCTCCAACACTTCGAGGCATCGAACTACCAGTCAGTGCTAAGAGAGAAGCTCCAGCGTCTGAAGCAGACAGCGGATATCGAGACTTACAACGGCGAGTAC